GGTTCTGTCTGTCCGTAGCGCAGCGCGCTGCTCCTGGAGCGTCTGCAGCGCCTGCGGAGTAACAGGGTTTCCTTTACTAGGAGGTTTCTCCTTACGGAAAACGAACGGACAGACTCTCGTGGCTGATGTGACAGGCGGTCGGCAGCCATGTTTCAGGGGCTGCCTTAGCCAGATGTGTGCCATCTCCTGCTGACGCCCGTCATACAGTCATTGATTCCTGACCACCCGCTGGTGCTGCTTCAGTGTGCTGCTGTGGGCAGTTTTGCCAATGGACGTTTTTCCAATTTGAGGTGCAGGGTGTTGCAGTTACAAAACCGGAATTCTGCTCTTGGCTCAATTGCTGACTCTGACCATGGACAAATCTTCACCTTTGTCTTAATCTTCCTAAAATAGCAATAATAAATCTACTCCACACAGAGCAAACTGAGACCTGTGCAGAAAGTGCTGTAGAAGTACAGTTCTTCTGAGATAGCTGTTCGTTTTTTGATCTTCAGCGTAGGCTTTGGTGTGAACAGCTGCACTCTGGTGGAGGTTGCAGGCTTGTTGCAAAGCAGTAGACCTTCGTCCTTAGAAACAGCCTGGTGAGCGTTTGAGAGGATGATGCAACGATTCTGTACTGGGTTTGAAGATTGCATTCTTCAGAGCTTGAAGTATTGAAGTTGATTCTAGTTTTCATTCATTGTTATTGCAACGTGGATCTTAAAAAGTGTTGACCTTAAAAAGACTCTCTTGTCTACTCTATTAAAATGTAAGATACGGCTAAACCGAGTTGTTGAAGGCCCAGGTGCTTCAGTCTTCCCCCACTGTTCATGGGAGATGTGAACCATCTTGCAGGACCTTTTAAAGGGTTTGGGGTATAGTGTTTTTTGTTTAATTAGGGCGGGGGGGCGATTTATTTTTGTTTATTTTTTGTTGGGGGGTGTGGTGGGATTTGTGGCTCTCAGCTCCTGTATGAACCATGTAGAACTCCAGTGTCAGTAGTTCATCTGATATCTTTTGTTTGTGCCCACCAGAGCTGTTTGTAACAGCAACCAAATTGTTGATAGGTGATACATGAAATAAGAATGGGATCAGAATGCACGTAATGTGTTAGGCAGGGCAGTTAGGGTGAGGTGGCTCATAAAGAATACGACAGCAGTTGGCCACAGGCCAAGAGCTGGGAACTTGCAAGTGTGTGTGGAGTTCAGCTGCATCCCCAAGCTGAGCCCTGGAAGGAGAGGAACTTGACTAGGTGTGTGGGACAGAGAAGGGTTGGTTAGCCAGTGTCCAGAGACGGGCAACGGAGCTGGCGAAGGGTCTGGAGCACAGGTCCTGTGAGGAGCAGCTGGGGGAACTGGGGCTGTTCAGCCTGGAGAAAAGGAGGCTGAGGGCAGAGCTTATCGCTCTACAGCTGCCTGAAAGGAGGTTGTAGCAAGGTGGGGTCGGGCTCTTCTCCCAAGTAACAAGCGATGGGACGAGAGGAAGATGGGACGAGCGGAAACGGCCTCAAGTTGCACGAGGGGAGGTTTAGGTTGGATATGAGGAAAAATTGCTTCACCAAAAGGGTTGTTAGGCATTGGAACAGGCTGCCCAGGGAAATGGTGGAGTCACCATCCCTGGAGGTGTTTAAAAGAGGTGTAGATGTGGTGCTGAGGGACAGGATTTAGTGGTGGACTTGGCAGCATTAGGTTAACAGTTGGACTCAATGATCTTCAAGATGTCTTCCAACCTAAAGGATTCTATGACTCTCTGACAGGAAGGGATGGTGTCAGGCTGGCAGTTTTAGTAGGTTTCTCTTGTCTCCTGTGACTTTTGTTGCCCAGATCTTTCTTCTTATTGCAGCACGGACCAGGTGAAAGGTGTGTTGACGCTGCAGGGAGATGCCCTGTGTCAAGCTGTGAGTACTTGCCGTGCTTCTTGCTTTGTACTGCTATCAAGGGGTGGGAGTTCTCCTTATTACATGTTGATGACCTCAAGGGAGAGGTCATCCTTATTATGCTTTAGCAGTGATCAATCCGTATTCTTTGTCAGTCTTCCCTAATAGGCCTTAAGTCCTTAATGTTCCAGCAGCCGTTGAAATTTGTGAAGGTCCAGCATCTAACCCCCACACATACTCTGTGGTGAGTGGTGGAGTTGGCTTTCATGGGGATTCCTTATCTTTACCACCTTTGTTGTGTGATATCAAATTTCCTCAGGGGCCTTCTGAAACGAGGTGGTGTGTCCTGCCTGGATCCCGGTTCACTGAATGCCTTTCAACTTACCCTTTGCATTAACATCTTCCTGTCAGAGGACTGAGGTTCTGGCTGTGCCAGGACTGCTGAAAGCAGCTTGCCAAGATGGTCTGGGAGACAGAATGGAGCGGGACTGGCAGTCTCCATCTTCTGCATGTGTATATCATGTGTTTGTTTCTTTCTTCAAGGATGTTAATCTGAAAATGCCCAGAAGTAATCAGCTCCTGCACTTTGCATTTCGGGAAGACAAGCAGTGGAAATTGCAGCAGGTACTGTTAATCTTAGATGCCTACCTCTCTGTAGCATCTGCACCCTCCAACCAGTAGCTGTAGCCCTTCACTTTCCGAGAGAGAAGGTTGTGACCATCCCACGTTAGCTCCAGTGGTAAAAGCTACAGGAGGAAACAGGTGCAGTTTCAGTAGTGCTGCTGTGAGGCAGAGGTGGGTTCTGCTTGTTCCTGAAACACCAGCCAGCTGAAGGCTGTCTGCATAATCCTTTAAAAGGAGTGGTTAGGGTGCCTGTGGGTTACTGGCCTTGTAAAACCCAGGCTAGCAGGGCAAAGAGCAACTTGAGAGGCTGTGAGTAGCTTGGGCTCATTCTCTTATGAGAACTTTTCTTTGTGGTGAGGACAAATCTTCCTGCCCTGGGCTCTTGTAGCACAGCTAAGTTCCCTCAGTTAAGGAGATGTGCCTATGCAGTACATCAACTCTCTTTCCCACCGTTTTGCTGGGAGATTTCATGACCTGATCTGGTACCTGACCTTGAAGACACAGTTTCCCAAAGTTACTCTGCCATAGCTGAGTAGGTTGGAGAAAGATGTATTCCATGTGCTTCCCTACGCCATGGCTCAGATTCTTCTAGGCAATCAGTGCATTTGGTCATGAGTGGAATTTCCAATGGCTGCTTTGGCACAGAGGGAAAGCTCTGCCTGGTAACTTTACAGAAGTCTAGAAAACTGTGTACTTGAGATGTTAACGCCAAACTTGACTGCGTTTATTCATGTCTTGCAACAAGGCACGGAAGTTTTGGTGATAACACTCAGCATTGCATCATGTTTCATGGGTGTTTTGTACTGCTGCTTGGTTGATAGTCTTCTACCAGCTTTTATGGGAAACACCTTCCTTTATTGACTTGAAAGAGCCTTGTGTTCTAGTATTGTTCAGATGTGGAATGTGAGTGCCTAAAGGGCTCCATGCAGAAGCATCTGCAGGGATTATGTGGAGATCTTTGTCCTGTCTGAATTAAAAATGAGCATCTTGAAGTATTGTGAGTTTCTTCCTGTCGTGAGTGGTGACAGCTGGAGTTTTGTTTCTCTATGCAAAGTAAAATCATTGGTAAGAAATTGTAGTATAGGCATGTTTTTGAGGAACGCAAGTGCAGGCACACAGGTTTTGAGAAACTTGATTAGAAAACAGAGCAAAATCAAGGGGGAATAGGAATGAAGCGAGTCCTTATAATAGCAGGATTGGCATTGCTGGGTTGGGTAGCACTGCCAGGAACCACTTAGCTTGCTCAAAAGCATCTGGGAGATGTAAAGGCTGGAGGTGGTGGTTTTTGGAGATGCCATAGCCCAAGTACTTGCAGAACCTCTCTGCAGCCTGACAGTGGACTTCATAATCTCTCTCTGTAGCCTCCAGAGCTTTCTAAGAGCAGGGCTAGTCTGTGATCCCTGAGCTCCAGATGAGAAGGAACCAGTGCCTAGATCTGTGCCAGGAAGGCCTCTACAAGGCTGAGCTGGGATCTGGGGTTGCTGGGGAGCAGTGTAGATGTATCAAACTACAAATATCCCAAGCTGTGTTATCCATCTCCCAGCAGCCACCTCTCATACAGGCTTCCCTGCTTACCGTTTCCATTTATTTCACCCTCTGATTTACCCCTTTGCTTTTTTTTCAATTTTCCTGCTACTGTCTGGAACTGAATGCAAGTGACTTTCTCCCAGGGCTGTTTTCTTCTTCCTTTGGTTTGTCCATGCTCCCATGAAAGCACCTGGGGTACATGTATCAACCTTGCTTTGGTAATTGTCTTCTGCTGCAAGCAGTCTCGCTTGAGAGGGCCTTGAGCTAGCTGTGTCCTGAGGCTGGTCAAGCTCCCCACAAGCAGCACAATGGCAGCTTCTTGATGCTAGAGATAACTCTCAACGCCAACAATTGCAGTTCAGAAAGACTCTGGAATACTGAGTCTTTGGAATACTCTGGAATACTGCCAGAGACGCTGTATTAGAAATCCATGTTTGCTGCTCATTGCTGCTACTGATGCAATTTATTGATGTAATCGTTGGATTTAGCTCTAATAGTTCCTAAGGAATAAATTGTTATTTGTGTTGCTAGACGTGACTGTGACATCAACAGTGCGAATTCCTACCTGAACAGCCCTCCCAGGATTAGTGCCTGATGTCACTGTTCCTTCAAGGCAGTAGCAATGTTTTTGTTGATGATCCAGGTTGCAGCTATCAGAATGTTCTGCTTCTCCAGTCCTTGAGTGAAGAACTCAATAATGCACCTGGGCAGCAGTGGTGGATTTGTGTTAGTGAGTGTCTGGTACTCAGAGAGAAACGGCCTTAACATGTGAGAAGTCACCATTTTCTTATGGCCAACGAGGTGATCAGGGAAACCTGCTTCCTAGTGTGTATTATAGAGAGTGTTTCTTTAATTTGTACCTTTGCAGATCCAGGATGCTAGAAACCATGTTAACCAAGCCATTTACCTGCTGATGAACAGAGATGTAAACTACCAGTTCAAAACAGGCTCGGAGGTTCTCAAGGTAAGGAGAAAGCCCTCTCTACTTGGGTAGGAATGTGCATTTTTCTTCCCTCCATTTGTTGTTTTAAACACGGCTAATGCATATTACTGGTTTGAGTCTCTTACTGGAAATGGATTCCCCAGTTGTACCCATATGTACCTGTGTCAAGAAGTATCCATGTGACCTCATATTTGATAGGAATGTGTGCCAGTTTAGCATCAGTAACAGGGCTGTGCATCGTAGTGAGTGGTAAGTCGGTGCCCTGTTGCACAGCAGTGACGTTCTGGGAGCATCTCCCTGATCTTTTTTGGATGATGTGATTACATAGCTCATGCTCTCCCTTGTCAGTTGATGCTTTTCGGGAGAGAAGAAACGAGGCAGTCATCAGCAAACAAAAGATTACAATTAGTACTTGTGATTTACTGACCATTTGAAGGTGAATTCTCTCTTGCTTGTAGTAGTTGACGCAGTCTGATACAGCCCAGCTGCTGCATGGCCGTACAGCCCGGTCCCTCTGCGTGGAAATGCTCTCTGAAGCTACTAGAGTTTCCACAGACTCCTTAGATCCCATCACAATATCAAACATGAGAAAGCAAAACCTTTTTAGGCTAGGTAATAAAGCTATTTCCCTCTTACTTTTGGGTGGAAGTAGCGGGGAGAAATTAGGCATATATAAAATGCCTTCATCTTAGCAGTCGTCAGCTATGTAACAGACATATGTTGCTTCCCACTTTCTTCCTGGAAAAGGAAGTCTGCCTGAATAGAGCCTTTGAGCTGTGGTTTCTGGCAGGACTGGACTCAGCTGGTTCTTTTCTCTAGTGCCCTGTCTCACAGATGGTTGGGAACAGGGAGGGGGCATTCAGCGGTTGTACCCGTGATGTGGGAATGGGGAGAACTAGGACACAGCTTGCTGTTTTTCCGTAACGCCTGCTTTTCAGAAGGGCTGCTGATGAGTCTGTCGATGCTCGTGTGGCATCAGTAAGTGATCTCATGTTCTCCTCTTACTCTTCTAAGGAATAGCCATTCTCTCTTCGCTCCCTGGTATTAAACACTCCTGGCCTATCTCACACGTGTCTTTGACAAGGATAACAGTTAAACTGCGTTTACGTGAGAGCCACCCTTTCCCAATAAGTCCCTGAATTCCTGGAAGGGCAGGGGGTGTTGGTGGTGGTTGTTTTAACACTTGCAGAAGGTCATAGGATTCTGCAGCATGCTACCCACTGCTGTCTGGGGATCAACACTCAGCAGTATACTGTACCTTGTCTTGTAGCTTATGGATGCGGTGATGTTGCAGCTCTCCAGAGCCCGAAATCGGCTTACCACTCCAGCCACTCTGACTCTGCCAGAGATTGCCTCCAGCGGTCTCACCGTAAGTATGTAGTGGTCTAGACCTCCATACAGTCTGGCAGTGTGCAACAGTGAGGATATTGTGCTGCACCCTAGTGGAAGTGGATTTCTGAAGTGTTTTCCGAGGCAGAAAGAGAGCTGAAACAGGTGTAAACCCTGAGCATTTTTGGCTGCTATCTTCCTGCAGGAAAGCAGATGACTTGGGCATGAGGACTCTGGTTCTCAGAGAGTAAGTTCTGTTCTGTGCCCAAGCAGCTTGCCCCTTGTGAACGCTGCTCCATCCCTTTCTGTCACCATCATGCACATGCCATTCAATCAAGAGCAGCAAGAGGAATGTCTTTCCTAATGTCCCGCTCACTGTGGAGTAACTGTAGTATGGCTTAGAAAAAAGCAGTGATTTCCCAGCGTTGGAAATAATGGCCCTTTCACTGACAAAGAAACTACTTATTTTCTCACCAGAAAATGTTCACCCCTGCTCTGCCTCCAGACATCCTTGTGAATTTCTATATTAACCTGAATAAGCTGTGCCTGACTGTCTACCAACTCCATGTGCTGCAGCCCAGCACATCCAAGGTGAGGCCTGCTGTCTCCTCAGCCTTGTTTGTTTACCTCTCCCGACGTCCCCTGTGAGGAGGAGATCTCACTGCTACGTTGTGCGATGTCGTACGCGTAAGATCATGCAGAAATGGCTCTAACTGGGGTTAGGTGTCTGTGTTTAGATCTGCTGCAGGCAGAACACTGGTTCTAAATTTAGCTTGGAGCATGACCACTTAGCCCAGAAGAAAATAGCTAGTGCTATGGAGAAATAGTGCTATGGAAATAGTGCTCTGGAGAAAGCCAGTAACTATTTTTTTCACATAATGCTTTATCTTACAATATAGTTTGATAATTTTGCGTAATTTCGGAAGGGCATAATTGTATTGATCCAGTTTACATCAAAGCAGCATCTTGGGTTTTCTGAATGGAGTTTTGATGGATACTGTTCTGCTTCACCTGTTGCATTTGGGTCAGCTTGGTGTCCTGTGAGAACAGAATTAAACTCAAGCTTTATGAAATGCAGTCCTTCCATAAGGATAATTTACCTAAAATCTATCTTTTGTTTTTCTTTGGTATCTTCTCATCTTCTTTTTGTGGTGCTAAAATTTGGAGCTATGTTAGACTCAGCCACTGTGTAGAATTTTTTTCGAGAAGGAGCAGGAAGGGATCAAATGACATGGACTCCATATAAATGGAGTATTCAGGCAGATACGGTATAGGCATTTCTTGATGTCAGGCTTCTGACAGTGCAAACATTAAATGTGCTGCTTCGGAGTAGTTTGTTCATTATGTCAAAATCCTAATGACCTCCTTCTTCCTCTCTAGAACTTCAAGCCTGCTGGAGGGTCCGTTTTACACAACCCTGGAGCCACGTTGTAAGTAGAGTCACTACAAGGGCTGTGTAGCAGGAGTAGGCTGAGGATGAGATCGGAACGGCTGTGTGCAGTTTGATTGTGGCATCTGTTCAGAGGAGCAGCTGCGCTGAGTCACTTGTGTTGGCTGTGCCTGTAGATCACCGGTGCCTGTAATAGTGTTTCCTTAATGACTTGGTCGTAAAGGCCCACAGATATGTCTTCTCAGGATGCAGCCCACCCATAGTGCCATGAATTTGTCTAGAGATCAGAGTTGTGAACCAAATGAAATTAGGTTATTGGCAGTCATCTGCATTTCCTGCCTTTGTACCTCTCTGAAAAGTGGTAAAGTTTCTACCTTAACTCTGTTAGATTGAACCTAACTCCAGATTTGGTCAGGGGTAGGCTGAGTTTGGATTCTCTGACTTTGCCAGGAGCTGTTTTAAACGTAGCAGAAATCCTAGCAATCTCTTCTGTGAAAATGGAAGACAGCTGAGTTTTTGTGTTCTGTGCTGTTGTGTGTGAAGCTGTGCTCTTTTTTCCTCCACTCCAGTGAGTTTGGCAACCAGCGGTATGAAGTCACCCATGTCCATAAAGTGGAATGTGTTGTCCCGTGGTTAAATGATGCCCTTGTCTTCTTCACAGTTTCACTGCAGCTTTGCCAGCAACTGAAGGACAAGGTAATAGCCTTAGAAAAGGGACTTCGCTTTTAGCTCTGGATTTTGAGAGGACCTCAGATCTCCTAAAAATCTGATGCGGTGTTATTCTGTAGAACTTATATATATATATGACTGAAAACAAGCAATAAGTCAATGCTTTGGAGCCAGGGAGCTGGCTGGCACTGCCTAGCAGCAGCCATCTAGGACAGGTGTAGTAGTGTGCCACATGTGTTTGCTGAACTAGTGACTAGATGGAGAGAAGCAGGTAGACATTTTTGTGTCTCAGTTATGAGCTGGATGTGAGGAAGTGGGCAGGACGCTGGAGAGGAGGCATGGAGACCTCAGCAGACTAGATTCCGGTAGACCAATGTTCAGTTCCAGCTTTGCAGAGGACCTGACTGCCACCTTGAGCAAGTAGCTGTGCTCCAAGCCTCTTCAGTGACAAGAGCAGCAAATCTGCCCTTGTGCAGTGCAGTGCTGGAGTGTGTAGTGCTGTAAATCTCAACCTGCACTCACACATTATACGCTCTTCTGTGGCCCAAGGGATACAGGAACTTACCTGCTTTTCTTCTTGCTTTCCAGATCTCTATTTTCTCCAGTTACTGGAACTACAGGCCATATTAATTCTCTGTGGAGTGTCCAAGCCCTTACAGCACTTCCAGTGTCTCCCTGTTTGTTTTCAACATGCCAGCTGAGTCCAGGTCGGCCTGAGGAGTGCTGTGGTTGACTACCCCGTGGCTCTCCATAGGGCAGAGTCCATGTATCCAGAGACACAACTTTAGTAGCCTTGGCTGGGACTGCTGCATAAGCAGGGCGCCAAGCGATGCTGTGTGGTTGGTGAGAGCTTGCACCTGTCTTTGTTCTCGTGTGCATTGTGTGGCTGCACTTTGCAAGCCTCTGATGAATTACACTAGTCCCTTACAAGGGATGGGGAGCTGTGCACCACTCTCACTAACTGTGCTTGCACACGGTGCTGTAATGGACTGCTGGACTGTGAGCTGGCTGGGAAGGGATGAAGACAGAGTAATTCAGCACACCACAACAAGTGTAGAGCATGTTGCTCCAGGTAGTGAAATGTGTTGTGATCTGGTTCAGCTGTGGTTATGACTAGCCCTGAACTTCTCCCTCTCCTATCTGTTCTGTCCATGCCCATGTTATTGATTCCCCTTAGGGGATATTCTTGCTGCTGTTTGAACTCTTTTTTACCCTGGCATCAATGTGATAATATTTTTTTTTTTTCCCCTAAGCCCTAGTTGGGCCAATTGGTTTTTTCCAGGTTTAGTATCTTGTTTTCACTGCCAGCCTTTGGAGTTGCCTCAGTACCTTGAGCAAAGCTGTGCAGTCTCACATCCTGTCATTAAACCCAAAGTGAGTACCATGTTGTTACTCTGATTTGCTGCCTACCTATGGATGCTACAGTGTGTAACTCATCCCTCTAGCCTTTGATAACTGTGAAATAAAGATCCTCAGACCTGCCATGCTCCTGTGGGCTGTTAGTGCTGAGAATAAAGGAGTATCAAAGACTATGTGCTCTCTTACATGTGAGTGGCTGTTCTTAGTTCAGCATGCTGGATTACTCTTACTGGGAGGACAGTAGTGGTCTCTGGAGGCAGAGCTGGACAGCTCTTTGAAGGCTGGGCTTGGTTTGTGGAGCCTCAGCCCAGTGCTGTCTGACACTGAGTACTACCTGAAGTACTTGTCCAGACTTCCCTTGAGGGTCATGTTTGGAAGAGGCTGTAGGTGCTAAGACTGGGTGGGTTTAGCTCATGGAGCTGGCCGTTAGGTGATGAGGAAGCATTACCTGTCTCCTGCTTGGCTCCAGCCAGTCCTGTCCAACCTGTGTTTCTGGTGGCTTTCCTCGCTGCAGTGCCTTACTCTGGAGCCTGAACGTGTGCTGAGGTGGAGACTGCAGGCCCACTGAAGTCCCTACAAAACGGCAGGGCCATTAGGGCCTGTCTTGACAACATGGCTGGAAAACACCAGGATCCTGGTGTTTTCGAAGTGCTGTCTGGAGCACTGTGCTCAAAAGGAAGAGATCACAGAATCACAGAATGGTTGGGGTTGGAAGGGGACCTCTGGGGGTCTACCTCATCCAGTTCTCCTGCTCAAGCCAGTCTCTCAGGACCATGTCCCGATGGCTTTTGAATAGCTCCAAGGAGGGTGACTAGAGATAATTATGTTGCTTTGATTTATTTTTCTTGTTGCATAGACCTCTGCTCTGGGCACGTGTGGCCTGCCTTGTCTGTGACCTCCCTTTCTGTGCCTTTGTGGGATCCTTGGGATGCTAAGTGGGTTAATGCCAGCCTTGTTACAGCTGCAGCCTCCTTCTCTGCAGACTTGGTGCTGTGCTTGGTCTAACGCGTGCTGATCCTACAGGTTGCAGGCAGTAACAGCCTACAGATGAGCATCAGGCTGTGACCAATGAATGTGTGTTCGTGAGTAATGATGGGAGGAAGGCAGAGAGGCCTGGATGGGCTGATGCAAGAGCAGACTCATTGCTGATTCCAGTCAGCCTTACGACTAGCTGTGCTCATGACCCTGGGGATGCGTTTACCAACCCTTGCTCTGTTCCCAGACCGTGCTCTGCTTAGAAAGTGGTTGCATGTGTGGAACTACTCACCATTAACAGCTTCTTGGATGAGAATATTGTTATAGTTAATAACCTCTCTGGAGCTGTTTGTGCTCTTCTTTAACCCTCTCTGTGTGTGGAGGAGGCTCCTTTTTTAATTCATACTGGTGTGTACAGTCCAATTGATGTTGTCACATCTTCTCCCACTCAGCTTCTTGCTGATAGGGATATAACATGCAACCCAGTGTGTATCGTTTTCTTCTGATGAAACAGTCATCTTCAGTTCTGGAGGGCAGGAGTATACGAAACAGAATACCTGTCCTTATTCCAGCTCTGATGCACAGTGGCTGTGTTGTGAGGACTGCTAGGTGGCAGTGGTAGCTGCTGCAGGACAGTGCCTGCGTGACTGACAGAAGAACAGGGTAACAGCAAGGTAGGTTAGACTAAAGAGGAGAGGCTGGCCCAAAGCCCTGGGCTGGACCTTATGATTTGAAAGATAAAACAAGGGTCCACCAATTAAAAGACTTAATAGTTTGTCTCTTTTTCCCCACTAAACCTCTGAGCACAGAAGAAAATTTGTAAGGCCCTCAGGGCTCTGGTTTTGCAGCCCAGTGAGGTTGGCACTGGGATAGCTACTGGCAGCCCACCCCTCCCTTTGCAAACGCAGCTCGAAGCTGCTGTGGGCCACAATGTTTGGCAAGTGCCTGGCAGCACAAGGCGTGTGTGAGGGTTGGGCTGCTCTGCAGTACTGCCGGGGCTTTTGGCTGGTAAATTGCCATGGTTTAACCCAGCTGGCAAGTAAACACCATGCAGCTGCTCCTTCCCCCTGCCCCACTCCCAGGGAATGGGAAAGAGAATTAAAGGGGAAACAAGAAGGAAACTCGTGGGTTGAGATAAGAACAATTTATTAATAAAATAAAACTAATAATCACAAAATAATAATAAAAATGACAATAATATGTGATGATATATAAAATGATAATAATACATACAAACAAGTGATGCACAGTGTAATTGCTCACCACCTGCTGACCGACACCCGGCCTGTCCTGGCAAGCGATCCCGAAACGGAGTCCTGAGACCAGAATCCTGGAAGAGTGAGAGAGCCCCGAAGAGAGATGTGAAGAGCGTGAGAGCAAGCCCCAACCTTCATCTATATCCTGGACACGACGTTGCATGATACGGAATATTCCCTTGGCCAGTTTTGGTCTTGATCCTAAGTCTAAGCTCAAGTCATAAGCCGGGAGATGTGAGTCCTTTGTCCTGGCCATGCTCCCCGCCACCTGCCATGCACCTGCACACTGGCAAAACACGGGAAGCTGAAGCGGTCTGGTACCAACTACACACATCAGTGTGCTATCAACATTCTTCTCATAACAAATCCCAGACTAAATCTCAAACACAGAGCGTTTCTAGCTGCTAAAAAGAAAAACTAACTGTCCCAGTCAAAACCAAGACATAAATGTACTGATGGATGTTGCCATGTGTCTGGAGCAGAATGAAATAGACTGTGCTGTTTCCTGGGCTGGGTTTTTATTCTCTCAGTTTTTAGCTTCCTTTGGGGAAGCTATATTTCTCATGAGCAAAACCTTTCCTGGTGGCACCTTTCTTTTTTCCCTTTTGCCCAGGGAATCTCTGCTTAGACTACTTAGTCTTCAGGGGATAGAGGTCTGCTGCTTAGATCCACTGGCTGCCTGCTTTTGATGGGTCTGGCCCTGCTGCTGAGCTTCTACACATCGTTTGCAAAGGAATTAGAGTTCCCTGAACTAAGATGGAGAAGACACTTGCTAGGCAGCTTTCAAGAACAGCACTGTAGCAGGCTGGTGACAGGTGATCAGGTTTGATTGGCAAGACCTGCCTTTCATAAACCCATGTTGACTGGGCCTGATCACCCGGTTAACCTGTATGTGCTCATTCATAGCACTCAAGATAACCTGTTCCATGACTGTGCCCGTCACCGAGGTCAGACTGACAGGCCTGTAGTTCCCCGGATCCTCCTTCCGCCCTTT